CTGGGATCATGACCTGAGCCGAAGGCAGGCGCTTAACAACTGAGCCACCCAGGCATCCCAAGATTTAATTTTTAAAAAGAGGTTATGCAGTTAAAAATGTTTGAAGGTTTTTCCCAACTTAAATTCTCTTATCTATTTTTGTCTGCTTAGAAGTCTTTTTATCTTACATATGGATCTCTGCTCTTGAGGTTTCTGGATAAGTGACCTTTAGTGAAGTGAATAATATTATTCTTACTTAAGAATATCACACCTAAAATGTTTACATTTGGGAAATGTGAGTGAAGGGTATACTGGATTCTTTGTATATTCTTGCAGGGTTTTTTTTCCTAGTCTAAAATTATGTTAGAATAAGTTAAAGAAAAAATCTCTACCTCAGTGAGGCATTGTTAGATACTTTTTCTCACTTGCAGGCGATACTAGTCTTATTAGATGACTTTTAAAGTGTATTGATTTGGCAGTGTAACCTCACAGAGCACTTCTTAGCTTTGGTATTAACACAGTTATTTCCTAGTCCTGTCATCTGATAGGCAAATTTCTGGGAGTTTTTATAGACACTTCTTTTGCCTCACAACCATATTCATTTAGATGGTAAATCTTGCATTTATTATTTGCTTAACATGTCTTGAATCTGTCCCTCCTGCCACAGTTTTCAGTGAAACTCAGCATCTGTTTCCTGGATTGTGGCAGTAGCTCTCTAATTGGTCTCCTTGTTTTACATTGTATGGCATAGAAATCGTCCGTGACTATCTGCCTCTCTGTCCTCATCTACCTGCTTCTAATATGTGAGTAAACTATTCATGGTACCACTCATATACACTTACTTCATACTGTTTCATGACTTTGCTTGTGATCTTCTCTTTGCTCGGATCAGCTAATTTTCTTTCTTCAAGACTCAGTTTGGTTATCTTTTCCAGGAAACCTCACTTAGAGTATCTGACTTCAGGTTTTTGCATGTAGATATCCAGTAGCCCCAGCACCATTTGTTGAAAAGACTGTTCTTTATTAAATTTTCTTGGCACCAACTGGAATTTTGATATGAATTGTGTTAAATGTGTAGAACAATTTGTGGTGTTTCTCCTTTTTGTTTTAGTTTGGGTTGGTTTTCTTCAGTTTTTCAAATTTGGTATTTCTGTGTATGCTTGGTTTGACATGACAAATTGTATCTTTTGAGGCACATAATAACATGATAATAGGTATATAGGCTTAACTTTGTGATACATGTTTGTGGTGGGAAGGGAAGAATTTTCTTTTTGGTAGTTTGACCATTTGTGAAAAACTTTCCTTTTCCTTATAGATTCCACATATTTCCACATGTTCATTGTGGAAAGTTTTAGAAAATACAAGAAAACAGAAAGAAAAAAAGTTCATAATTCCACCATTCAGAGTTAATATAGTGTGTACATGTGTGTATAGAAGCTTATTGTATATATTTCTTTTTTCATTTAACCATATAACATATAGGGAATGTCTTTTCATCTCACTAGAAACTGCAGTTTTTAAAAAAATTTTTTTTTGTTTTTTAGGTAGGCTCCATGCCCAACATGGGGCTTGAACTCATGACCCTGAGATCAAGAGTCACACGCTCTACCAACTGAGCCAGCCAAATGCCCCAAAACTGCAGTGTTTCTTAATGCTGTGTCACATCTTATTTTGATATTTAACTAAACCCCTATTAGGCTTATGTTTAGGGTAGTTTTTCCAAATTTTAAGTGCTATAGTTAAGTCTTTGCCCAGATTCTTGACTATTTTCTAAGGCAAGTTCCTATAAGTAGAATTGCTGGTTCAAGAGGATGCATATTTTTAAGTCTTTCTTGCCATTTTTTTTAGTGTAGTGTGTTACTATTTGACAGCAGTTTCTTTCTGTTAATATTTGAGGGTAAGCTCACTAACAAGTATTTACATTATTTGGAATTACCATTAGATATTCATAGCAGCATTATTCACAATAGTTAAAAGGTTAAAAAAAAAATCCATTGACCAGATGAATGGAGAAACAAAATGTGGTCTATCCACACAATGGAATATTGTTGAGCCTTAAAAAGGAATAAAATTCTGATACATGCTACAACATGAATGAACTTTAAGCATTACGTGAAGTGAACTAAGCCAGACACAAAAGGACAAATATTGTATCATTCCACTTATATGAAGTACCTAGAATAAGCAAGTTCATAGGAACAGAAAGTAAAAGAGAGATTACCAGAGGCTGGGGAGATAGGGAGTTTAACGGATATAGAATTTCAGTTTGGAATGATGAAAAAGTTCTGGAAATGGATAGTGGTAGTGATTGTACAACATTGTGAATGTACTTAATGCCACTGAATTGTACGCCGAAAAATGGTTAAATGGTAAATTTGATATTAAGTATATTTTATCACAATTAAAAAATACTACAATTGGATTAATTTTAGAATTTTAGATAAAAACCACTCACTGAGAAATTATGTGCTTACTTTACTTATTGTGTGTTACCTTGTAGCTAAGTTCTGGATACTTGCTTTAAATATGATGGATTGATAGATGGTGCTGAGAACTAAGTTCTTAACCAACATTCATGCAATATGAAGATTTATTGGGCTATATATGCCAAGTAGTGTGCTAGGCACTGAGGACTGTGGTGGTAAACAAGATAAGACACAGTCCCTAGAGTCTCCTGGTTGCTAAGATTGAACAGAAAAAGAACAAACTTCTTATTAAGAAAAAAGGGATTAAATAATCAGGTGACTTGTTTTCTCCTTAATGATTTCCTTTGTGGGGTGATTTTAAAATATCCTTTCCCTCCCCCTTCAGGTTGCTATGGAAACATGACTAAATAAACGGAAGTCCATTCTGATAATTCTGATACCTGAGATGTAACTGGGCTAAAGAGTGGAACAGGAAAAATTTTAGTGCCAACCTCAATTACAATGGCTACTGATTCAGGAGAGCCAGCTAGCACAGAAGATTCTGAGAAACCTGATGGAGTTTCACTGGAAGACAGAGCTCCTCAGCTTGCAGCAACTTTGACAGTGGAAGCTAGACTAAAAGAAAAAAATAGTACCTTCTCTGCTTCTGGGGAAACTACAGAAAGGAAGAGATTCTTCCGAAAGAGTGTTGAGATGATGGAAGATGATAAAGTTGCTGCATCTTCCTCCAAAGATGAGAGAATGAAGACCACAACAAATATTCCAAGAGTAGAAAAGCTTCCTACAAATGTGCTAGGAGGTGGACAAGAAGTTAAATACGAACAGTGTTCAAAGGCAACTTCAGAGTCCTCAAAAGATTGTCTCAAGGAGAAAAATGAAAAGGAAATGGAAGAAGAAGCAGAAATGAAGGCCGTAGCTACTTCTCCTAGTGGCAGGTTCCTGAAATTCGACATAGAGCTGGGAAGAGGAGCATTTAAAACAGTATATAAAGGATTGGACACTGAAACATGGGTTGAGGTTGCTTGGTGTGAGCTGCAGGTGGGTATATAATCTTCTTGGTTTTAATAAATTCCAGTTTTAGCAGGCCTCGCCTTCTGAGTGATCCAGGATTAATATATATCATGGATTAAAATAAAATGAAAGGCTTGTCCCCCAGCTCCCTGAAATTATGCTCTTTTCCTAGATCCTCTTAGGAGCTCATAGCAGCCTTTTTTTCCTCCTGTTGTTTTCCCTCCTGTTTTAAAGGGGGAAAAATCTATCAATACTTTCTTTAAGAAAATGCTCTTAATTTATTAACATTGGGAAATCCCCCAAACTCTTGAGGTCTCATTTTGAAAACTTTTAGTAAGTTTTAGTTAGTTGCCTTATTAGTTAATTGATTGTTGTACTAAGTATTTGGGAATGTGATATGTCAGGGATATATTTAGTGTGATACCTCCCTTTTCTCTTTTTCTTTCAACAAATTTTTCGGGTTCATATGGTGTTTTTCAGAACAGAAAATGTTATGCTTGATTCTTTGAGGATTTCTATAATACAAACTTGTCCATGCTTTAAATTTACCTCAAAGAGCATCTCTGGAAGAAATAATCACCAGAACCTACTGAGGTTAGTCAACTGGAATGTGTTTAGAAAGGAGAAATGAAAACAAGAGGAGACTAGTTGAATTTCCTTGATATTTGGTTTCATAATATTTGTGTGATACTTTTAACTAATGAAGGACTAAATGGGGACAGAACATCATAGAAGGGGTTATAATAAGAATAGTTTCAGACGGATATAGTTCAAATATAAAGAAAACCTTTGTGACCTCAGTCAGCCCATGGGAAATGTCAGTGTTCACATGAGATGCTTAAAATTAAGATTGAATAGAGCAAGTCACTAAGTACAGGTTTTTGTTGTTATTCAGATTCCAGTGGTCTCTGTGCATGTGGATGTGTATGTAGGTGCTGTGATTTCACCCATTCTGAATTTGCTCTAGGTTGCCTTTTAGATAGGTTGAAATTTAGTTCAGGTCCCTGCATTTCTAGGGAGCTTTTTGTTGAACAACGTGGTTTTGAAACTTCACTGTCTGTAAGAGTTAGTGTTTGCTTCATATGCGGATTCCAGAGCCTATTGTCAGAGATTCAGATTCAGTAAGTCTGGGGTGGGATATAATAAGACTGCAATTTTAACAAGCTTTCAAAAGTGCTTTGAATGTAGGAAGTCCCTTGGCTCTCTGGAATTCAAGTTACCTGGCAGTCAAGCCATTCTATTAGTTCTTGAAAGGTGTCTGCATCTGTGGGTTTGCTTGGTTTTCTTTTCACCCCCTTGTTCCCCTTTCAGAATTTTATAAGGTCTGTGTCGTAGAAATATTAGGTCATGTGAACAAATAAACTTCAAAATCACCTGAAATTCCACTATTTTGAGGATGCTTTTAAACAGTATATATCTTTCTGGACTCTTTTTTTTCAAATATGTATATGACTGTTTTTTCCCCACAAAGTGGGATCGTTACTATAAGGTTTTGAAAACCTTTTCTTTTTACTTATCATGAACATCTTTTCATTACCAGTAATTGTGAATTAAATTATTTTTAATAGATACCTTTATAAGTTATTTAATCAGTCCTCTATTGATGGACATCTAGAATTTTCTCCAGTATTTCACTATTATAAATATGGTTGTGATCAACATTCTTGTATATATAGTGAAAATTATGTACATTTTAATTTCATCTCTGCATTGTGACATTGGTAACACTCATCTTTTAGTGATACTCTGTAAATGGGGGAAATCATTTCCATTCACTTGGTAGTAGGATACATAGTAAAGATACGTCAAGTATTTTGCAAACTGTATACTCTAGCTATGCTAAAGGATGCTTAGGTAAAACTTAAAATATTCTAGTGGTAGGGACCGCTTTGGGGAGTGCCTTCTCTCATTCACCTGTGAAAAGACTGAACTGAAAGAGCCCACAAGGTCTTACTACTCAAAGTGTGGTCTCTGGACCAGCAGCATGGACATCAGCTTGTTAGAACTACAGGTTCCTATGTCTCATCCCAGACCTACGAAATCAGAATCTGCTTCTTAATGACATCCGCAGGTGATTTGTATGCACAGTAGTGTTTGAAAAGCCCTGAAAGAAGGGACCACCAGTCCAAGAGCTAGCTGAATCAGAGGAGGAATTCCCTTAATACACCAACATGAGCTTTATATTATATCATAGATACGGATTCCTGCTGTCTGCTCCGGACTTTCCAAATCAGAATCTCTAAGAGATGGGCCCCAGGAACTCATTTTTTGAAAGTTCCCCAGGTGATTGGACACATAGCCAGATTTGGTAAATCTCATGTGGAACGAACATTGTAAATACATAAAATACATTTTAACTTACACCAAGAACAGTTGCAGTTTTCTATTCTGAAAGGAAATGTCAGAATTAGTGGACTTAACTGATACAAATTTTAGACATCGTTTTCTGCATATTTGGAATTAGGAAAAACTAACTTATGAGTATTATGCAGTTTGTAATGTATAATTTCTCATATTTTTTCACAAAGTCTTCTTCGTTATATAAACAGTTTTGTAGAAAAACATCCCAGTCAATAATTTAAATGTTGAAAGCATTCCAAATTATTCTCCAATCTTTGTTTATGAGTGTGTATAATATATAAAATTACTGTCTGTACTTTTGTTATCAATTAGATATGTATTTTCTATTTATTAACATCATTAAAATATTTAAACTATATTTTATTGCATTCATAACACCTCTTGCTTGAATCTGCTTCCCTGAAATTAGGCAGTTCTTTTTTTAGTTTTATTTTTGCATGTTTGATTTAACAGCTTAACAAAAGGCTTTTATACCTTTTTCTCTTGACAGCATTTTCCCCCACTGTGGATATTTGAGCCTTGTGTAACAGTTGTTAAAAGCTCCATATCCATTTGTTTGGAATACATTGACCTTATGGAAGTGCAAAGAACCAGGAGAGATACATTTTACTGCAGATATTTGACTTTGAGGATGTTAAACAAACAAACCCTTTGATGTAGGTCAGATTTAGGATTTGGCCGTAAACATCTGCATTTCAAACATCAACAGTTTGTCATATTTTATGGTTTCCATAACTTGATTTATGCATTAGTGGAAGGGCTGACCAATTGTTCTTTGTTGCTAAACTATTTGGTAAATTGGTAATATACTGTGAGTGAGGGTTTTCAGTCATAAGTGCTGTTTGGAAGACTGTTTGTCTTAGTTCATGATGTTGAAAGACCTGTTCAGATGTTACTGAAAGGCTTGTTTAGTAACTCTTAGAAGGAGTCAATCATAAAAAATTTGCAATATTTTCCTCGTCCACTAACAACTTGAGAATCAACAGCACTCTCCTTTTACACATGGAAACATAACCAGTTTTTGCTTTACTATAATTTGGAAAAAATACTTCCACTAATGCATTTGTCATTTGTTTTCTTGATGGAATTGAGTTTTCATATAATTTTCCAAATGAAGAAACATCATAGATATCTGAAAATTTTTTTGTTATTTGACTGTTTCTAAAATTTATTTGAGTGTTCTTATAATAAGCTTCACTTGTGGGGTCAGATATGTGATTGCGTGCTTCTCAGCATAATTAAATGGGCCTCCTTTTTAATTTTAATTAAAATATTTTTAAAATTTTAATTCCAATGTAGTTAACATACAGTGTAATATTAGTTTCAATATAGTGTGCAGTACAGTGATTCAACACTTCCATACATCACCCGGTGCTCATCAGGACAAGTACATTCCTTAATCCCCATCGCCTATTTAACTCAGTCCCTTACCCACCTCCCCTCTGGTAACCATCAGTTTGTTCTCTATAGTTAGTATCTGTTTCTTGGTTTTCCCCTTTCTCTTTTTTCCCTTTGCTTGTTTGTTTTATTTCTTAAATTCCACATATGAGTGAAATCATATGGTATTTATTTTTCTCTGACTGACTTATTTCACTTAGCATTATACTTTCTAGTTCTTAATGGGCCTCCATCTAACAACTAGACATCTAACAAGTCTAGCTATAGTTTCTGAACTGAACCAAAAATGGCACTGAAAAGAAAGATTTTTTAAAAAAGACACAGTTGACTGTAGCAGGTTGACATGTTGAGTGAGCATTCTAATGCACTTTCATTATAGTAGTGAATATATTCAGAGCAATGCAATGGAAGTAGCAGTCTAAAAATCTATACTTCCACACCCAAAGCACCTATCACAATTGTGGAGAAACTTCTTTCCATTTTATTTTTATTCATCATCTAAAAGCACTTTGGGTAAGTATATTTTTCAATACCAGCCCTACATTTAATTGTAAAATTAGAATTAGATAATAATATGAAAACAGCTGAATTTCCAAAAGAAAAATTTTAGAAAAATATATGCTAGAATTTCTGTTTCTGAATAAATATTGTGGTTCAAAGTAATCACTCTGGGATACTTTTGCTCTCAAAATATTTTTGTTATGGCCTTCTTGGAAATGTTTCCAGATTCTGTTTGAGCCACACAAGAAAATGCTTCATTACATATAGGCACACCCAAAATATTGTTACTCAGTTTAATTCCCCTCTCTCTTCATCTGACCTAGCCCTCAAAGTGGAATACTCTCATGGACAAAGAAGATTACATTGAAGGGAGGAGGGATAAAGCTTGCTTAAATATATATGTTCTAGTTTCTTTGTTTAAAAACTAGTCACATAACTTTATCAAGTGTAAACCAAAGGCAGATGTTTTCATAAAATGACAAAGGGTGAGAGTGGCAGGAGACAGACTTGATCTGGGAAATAGCGTTTATTTTCTCAATTCAGAGTTAGTTTTGAACTATCTGTTTGATAGCTAAAAGAACAAATTGATACATCTAGTAGTCTGAATAATTGCACTCCAAAGATGACCATGTCCTAATCCCTGGAATTTATGGATATGTTACCTTACATTGTAAAAAGGACTTTGTAGATGCGATTAAAGATTTTTGTGGTGGGTAGATTATCCTGGATTATCTGGGCGGGCCAAAGGTAATCACAAAGGTCCTTAT